CCGGGCACTGGAGCCAGCCGAGTCCCAGTGCTCATTACATTTTCTACAAAAAAGGAAAAAGGAAAATTAGCTGTGCAGGTGGCGCCAGCCTTGTAGTCCCGCTACTGGGCGAGGCTGAGGCAGGAGATCGCTGTTGGAGGCCAGGAGTTTTGACGATGCAGTGAATGCGTCTGATGACACCACCTGTACTCTAGCCTGGTGACACAGTCGAGACCCTGTCTGAAAAACCCAGGGAAAGACAGAAAAGATAAGATCAGTAGGAAAGAAAGAAAAGAACAGGGGGAAAAAAAGGAAGAAGGAAGGAAGGAGAGGAGTTAGAAGGAAAGAAAAGTCATTTAATCCTGAGCACTCATCTTACAGTGAATGCCTCCCTTGTATGTTGCTGGTCACAGGGCTATAATAAAAAGAGTCTATGTGAGAGATAATGTGGGGCTAAAACACACATGAAACTGCAAAGCACTATCACGGTATCATAATATTGTTAACTACTATAAAATTCCAGCCTACAACTTTTGGGTATTTTCAAGAGATTTATATGTTTCTTAAGTCAGAGCGTGTACGGGAAAATGCGGTCGTCAAAGAATGCAAAATTTACGTACGTTCTCACTTCCAAAGGAATGTTCTTACATTAATAACAGCTTTACACTTAACGCAGCACTATTAGTATGCCAGATACTATTCTAAGCCTAAATTGATTACGGTGCATTAACTCACTTTCTAATCTCCCGATGATTGCTACAGGGTAAAGTTATCGATATTCCATTTTATAGGAGGAGGGAAGACGGCGGCACCAAAGATGTTAAATAACTTACCCAGGAGCTCACAGGAGCCTCATAAAACTACCATGCCAGGATTGGCATTCAACATTCTTTCTTTATCATTGCACGCTCTATTAAGTCTCTCAGTGTCAGGCGACCTGTAACACAGTAACTACACCAAACCTCTACATGGGGATTTCCCAATTCTGAGACGATGTCATCCAAAAACGGTCGTGAGTTTGGTAAATAGTCATACATTCTAACAAGCAATACAATCGATCTCCATGCGATTTAAACAACTGATAATCTGACATAAAACAAAGGCTTGAGAAGCTTTAAAGGTCCTATCCTTAAGGGTTTAATTGCAAGGCAAACACAGAATTATCCATTTCACTTACATTGCTTCCCACACAAAGCTGTTCAAAGCTTCTAGTTGCTCTGCTCCCGGAATAACTGAATCAGCTTTTTTCGCAAGATCTGACGATACCCTAAATTACAATATCAAATCAAAGGATGCTGCAGCAGGGCACTGTATTTTCAAATGCAGGCTTGGATCTTTATTCATTCATTTCTTAACTTTGCATGTGTATTTATTCATTTCTGTCACCCTGGCTCTTGTAACAGTGTTCCTGTTTGTTGGTTTTTGCGTTTACATACACCACAGTTTTATCTGTTTTGTTTGGGACTTTTTCTGTTTTCATTTTTTTTTTTTTTTGAGACTGCGGTACTTTGCTTGTTGCATCAGGCTAGGAGAGTCGCAGGTGGCTTCATACCTTGCTGTAACCTCAAACTTCTGGGCTCAAGCCATCCCCTCCTGCCTTGCCTCCTGAGTAGCTGGCGACTATAGGTGAGCTAAATTTTTTTATTTTTGTGAGGACAGGTCTTGGCCATTGCCCAAGCTGGTGCCATCTCAGTCCTTCCAAGTGCTTGGATCACAGGTGTGAGCTCTGTGCCCAGCCTTTTTAAGTTTTTGCTGCCATCAAAGAAATACTAAATCTACAATGTCTAGGTGCCATTTCTTCTAGTTTCAGTGACAGCCTATACCAGAATTTTTTAAAAATTGCAGCCATGCAAAAGAAGAGTGAAATCTATGACTCCAAATTACCAATCTAAGCTGCCATATTTTTCTCAAAAAATTTTTAGTTATGAATTTAAACTAAAAAAGCCAATTTCCTCTCAAATGCTTTAAAAGGTAAGCTATATTTCCTTCAACTGTGTATTTACACAGGCATTATTTAAGATGACCAGCTGGGCGCGGTGGCTCACGCCTGTAATCTAGCACTCTGGGAGGCCGGAGGAGGGCGGATTGCTCAGGTCAGGAGTTTGAAAACCAGCCTGAGGCAAAGCGAGACCCCGTCTCTACTATAAATAGAAAGAAATTATTGGCCAAGTAATATATAGAAAAAATAGCCGGGCATGGTGGGCATGCCTGTAGTCCCAGCTACTCAGGAGGCTGAGGCAGGAGGGATCGCTTGAGCCCAGGAGTTGAGGTTGCTGTGAGTGAGGCAGAGCCACAGCACTCACTCTAGCCTGGGCAACAAAGGTGAAAGACTCTGTCTCAAAAAAAAAAAAAAAAAAAAAAGAGATGACCCGAACCTTTTCGCTTTGTGGACCTAATGAATCCTAGAGTCACCAACAATAGGATAATGTTGACTAGGCAATGAAAGCAAACATTAGAGATTGTATGTTAATCTTACAAAATAAACTCCACCAAGCCAAACACACTGATAAACATCCTTTATGCTGTCAGACAGTACTATTTATTCCTTATTGCTTCCAGTTCCAACAACCCGTTCTTCCTAATATCGATGACCCGTAAGATTCAAAGAGCATTTTAAAACGCATAGGAGCGGGCGCAGTGGCTCACACCTGTAATCCTAGCACTCTGGAGGCGAGGGGCGGATTGCTCAAGGTCAGGAGTTCGAAACCAGCCTGAGCAAGAGTGAGACCCCGTCTGCTACTATAAATATAGAAAGAAATTAATTGGCCAACTGATATATATAGAAAAAAAAAACTAGCCGGCCTGGGTGGCGCATGCCTGTAGTCCCAGCTACTCGGGAGGCTAGGCAGGAGGATGGCTCTCGAGCCGAGAGTCTGAGGTTGCTGTGAGGTTGCGTGAGGCTGATGCAGGCACTCACTCTAGCCTGTGCAACAAAGGGAGACTCTGTCTCAAAAAAATAAAAAAAAAAAAAATAAATAAAATAAAAAAATGCATTAGGAGAAATGCTAAAACAGGAACAATGACGCTTATTAGCAATGGCAAATTCCTTCCTAAAACACAGCCCACGAGGACAGAGATTTTTTGTCTGTTTTGTTCACTGCTATACACCCAGTGCCTCAAACAGTACTTGCCACATCATAAGAATGCAAATATACAACAGTATTGGTAACATTTTATTTTTTGAACTGGAGTGGTGAGTACATGAGTGTTACATATTCTTTATAGGTTTTGTCTTAATCATAATACTTTTTTTAAAAACACTAGTGAAATGCATTTTACAAACTTAATGGCTTTGCAATTATTCAGAAAGTAATCCAGAATATAGTCAAAAACAAATTTATAAAAACAGAACTCATTCAGATTTACAACTCATATTTCATAGGGCACATCCTCAAGCTACCATTCAGCACTTACTGACTCTCTATACAAAATTCTCACTATCTTGCTTTGTCTGATTTCTCAAAACTGTAATAAATCAAACTGAATTTAAGAAAGCAAGTATATTGGCTGGGCGAGGTGGCTCACGCCTGTAATCCTAGCACTCCAGGAGGCTGCAGCAGGTGGATCGCTCAAGGTCAGAAGTTCGAAACCAGCCTGAGCAAGAGTGAGACCCGTCTCTACTAAACACAGAAAAAATTAGTGGAGCGTCACAGTACACATCTGTAATCCCAGCTACTCAGGAGGCTGTGGCAGGAGGATCACTTGAGCTCAGGAGTTTGAGGTTGCAGGGAGCTATAATGATGCCACTGCACTCTAGCCCGGGTGAAACAGCAAGATTCTGTCTCAAAAAAAAGAAAAAAGAAAGCTCCAGCTAAACTACTGAGACACTGCATACTGTGTTTCCCCGAAAATAAGACTTACCCATACAATAAGCCCTAGCAGGATGTCTAAGCATTTGGTCAATAGAAGCCCTACCCCGAAAATCAGCCCTAGTGACGGGTGTGGCTATGCAGCGCATCTGCACAACCCATGCATTTCGTTCCAGAGGGAAAGAAGACAAGCAGTCCTTCTCTTCTGCCCTGTGAGAGCTCTGTTGCTAGACAGAAGAGACTGGGGCCAATGGTTCTAAAGGAAATAGAGTCGTAAGAAATTCAGGATGGAATTTGGGGTTTGGAGAGTTATGATGATGTTCCAGAAGAAGACGACCTCACTGTATTTGAAGCAATGTAGATGGTTGTACCATGCTGAAAAAAAATAACACATCCCCTGCAAATAAGCCCTAGGGTGTCTTCTTGAGGAAAACTAAATATAAGACCCTGTCTTATTTTCGGGGAAACACGGTACATGGAGAGAGACCCAGACAACAGCCAGATATTACATGTGAGTCCAGCCCCAGCTGAATTGTTCACATGAGTGAGCCCAGACCAGCAAAACAGCCTAGTCAACCCCCAGAATCCTGAGAAATAATAGTCGTTTTACACTGCTGAGTTCTTGGTTTATTACGCAGAAAGACACCTGCAACATCCTATAAAATAAATACTACTATTCATCTCCAGTTCATAGCTGAGGAAGTAAATATTTAGCTGAAGTTTCAGAATTCTACAAATGCTTGAAAAGTTCCCTCTCCTCTGACAACTAATGCACTTATTTCTCTTCAACAAAGTAAAAAGCAAAGCAACATGGGGAAAAATATAAGCCAGTTTTACTTTCATCCATATTGATAAAAATTACATGCAAAAAGGATTTGACCCATGAAGATATATTCAACCTATTTTCAACTCATGGAATAAGCCAGCTATGTATTTATTTACTGCTTAATAACAGTAACAACAACAATCTTACAGCATTTGCTATGTGTCAGGTACTGTTCTAAGCGATGTAAGTGTGATAAATATGTGTGCACACACACACTCATTTTGTCCTCAGTTAACTCAGGCAAGAATAAGTCCTCTTGCCGGGCGCGGTGGCTCACGCCTGTCATCCTAGCACTCTGGGAGGCCGAGGCAGGTGGATCGTTTGAGCTCAGGAGTTCGAAACCAGCCTGAGGAAGAGCGAGACCCCGTCTCTACTCTTCTTTCTAAATAGAAAGAAATTAATTGGCCAACTAATATACATATATATATATATAGAAAAAAATTAGCCGGGCATGGTGGCGCATGCCTGTAGTCCCAGCTACTCGGGAGGCTGAGGCAGGAGGATCGTTTGAGCCCAGGAGTCGGAGGTTGCTGTGAGCGAGGCTGACACCATGGCACTCACTCTAGCCTGGGCAACAAGGTGAGACTCTGTCTCAAAAAAAAAAAAAAAAAAAAAGAATAAGTCCTCTTAGTATCTCCCTTTTCCTGAGTGGGAAAATGCAGCACAAAGTAGTCATGCCCAGAATATATAGCTAAATTTCCGACTAAGAAAAGTAGACAATTAAAAAGTACCTTTACCAACAAAGAAATGACAGCGAAGCATACCTAAAACCCAGGAGTTCAATGTCCTGGTTAGAGCAGGTGTTTCTTTATTAATATAGATCAAAGTGATCTCAGCTGTCAGGCTGCAAACACTAGTATCAACCTGAGAGGCACACTTTAAACAGAAAGCATGTGCCTTAACAGAAAACAACAGTGCTGTGAAATCTACGACGAGAAAATGAACCATATCGACAGATCTAGCTACCTACTTATGATTAACACTGCTGGCCAGGCTCGGTGGCTCACGCCTGTCATCCTAGCTCTCTGGGAGGCCGAGGCGGGAGGATCGCTGGAGATCAGGAGTTCGAAACCAGGATGAGCAAGAGCGAGACCCTGTCTCTACTAAAAACAGAGAGGTCGGGCGCGGTGGCTCACGCCTGTCATCCTAGCACTCTGGAGGCCGAGGCAGGCGGATTGCCCGAGGTCAGGAGTTCAAAACCAGCCTGAGTAAGAGCGAGACCCTGTCTCTACTATAAGTAGAAAGAAATTAATTGGCCAACTGATATATATAGGAAAAATTAGCCAGGCGTGGTGGCGCATGCCTGTAGTCCCAGCTACTCGGGAGGCTGAGGCAGCAGGACTGCCTGAGCCCAGGAGTCTGAGGTTGCTGTGAGCTAGGCTGACACCATGGCCCTCACTTTAGCCTGGGCAACAAAGCAAGACTCTGTCTCAAAAAATAAATAAATAAATAAATAAAAATAGAGAGAAATCAATTGGCCAACTAAAAAAATATAGAAAAAGTTAGCTGGGCATGGTGGTGCATGCCTGTAGGTAGTCCCAGCTACTCGGGAGGCTGAGGCAGGAGGATGGCTTGAGCCCAGGAGTTTGAGGCTGATGCCAGGGCAACAGTGAGACTCTGTCTCCAAAAAGAAAAAAAAAAAAAAAAAACAAAAAAACACTGCTGAACAACTTCTTGCAGGGCAAGCACACTGTCACAGATTTTAACTTGGAGGGGACCTAACCATGCTACCCCAACGTCGACACAATTCCTCAACGATCCAGACTCCTGCAAACGCCACACTGCTCTCAGACACCCCGACCCGAGATATCGAGGGCATTTTCCGCCTGGGTGCCCATTTTCAGAGTTGGTGGCAGGGAGAAACGCCCAAACCACAAGGGCCTGCAGGACCCGGCCCGAGGGGCTCCACACGACAGGACAGCAGCCGCACCTCCCTCCTCCTCGGGCCCCGTCAGCCGCAAGAAGCCACGTCCCCGGAACAGGCCGCATCGAGGTCCCAGAAGCCAATGTCCCTCGGTCAAAAAGGAAGGAGAGACAGGTGCAAAGGGAGAGGCCAGGTTTGCCCAGCGGTGGCAAGAGGGGAGCCAGGGAAGGATGCCAAGGCCAGGACGGGCATCTCTCACGGCGCGCCCCCAGAATCCCGGGGGGGGACCAGGAAGGATGCTACGGAGGACTGAAGAAGCTGACAGTCCCCGAGGGTCTCCGGCCTCGAGGTCCCCGCAGTTTTCCGGGGCTCCCGGCCTCTGAGACCCGAGGCCCGCCCCCTCCGTGCTCAGGCCCCGCTCCCCGCCTCACGCGCGAGAGCCCGAGGAGGTCACCGCAAAGGCTCGCCTCCCACACCTGCACACTCCCCGCCCCTGGGAGACACTCACTTGCCCGCCAGGTCTTTGTGAGAGCCGCTCGAGTTCATGAGCTGGGCCAGGTCCTGTCGCACGGCCGCCGCCATCTTTCCTCCAGCTCAGCCGCGGCCGCCGAGCCTCGGGCAGCCAAGCCGGAAAGGAAACGAGCGCGGTCCTCCAGCGCGCGCCCAGAGGGAACCCCGAGCTGCCACAGAGCGGCGCCTGTTGCGGGCCAGAGCGCCGGGTGTGGGAGCCTGAGCTTAGCACCGCCCCCCACACCCCCCGGCGTTGAGGGACGCACAGCTCCACCCCTCCAGGCTGGAGCCCGCCAAGGCTTCTCCCACTGGCTCGCGCCTCGCACGCTCCGACTTCGGATTGGCTGGCGAACTCCACCTGTGCAACCGCCCTAAGTGCCCGGTGTGTGAAAGCGACGGCGTGTTCACTACGTTCCGTGTCTCCTGTCTGTGGTTTACCGTTCTTTAAGGCAGTGCTTCAAACTACCTGTGCTAAAAGAACGAGTTGTTTTCTGTCCCGAACTAGATATGGCTATGAAAAAAAGACAGAGAAAAAAGAAAATTATCTAAAATTTTTTATTAAAAAAATAGAAAAAAAAGAGAACGAATTGTTTTTATTTCCAGTTCACCACTGACCGATGGTTTTAAAAATTACAATAAAAATATCCTCATTCCCCCTCCCACTCTGCACCCTTTGGTTGATCATACATTCCAATTTGTTCAAGACAATGGTAATTTCCACCTGTCGTCCTGGAGTATTGATGAATAACACCCCGTTTCACTCTAGAAATGGTCCCATTTGAATGACAAATTTATGGTCGCCCTACCTTTATAGTGATTACATTCATTGCTCGTGTATTATAGAGTTTCTGCAAATACAAGCAAATAAATGTACATTTTCTCTCCTTTTTCTTGCTTTCACAAAAAGTGACACATCGTATCATTGTTATACCTTGAGTTTTATTTCACTTCTTCTGGTGCTGTGGTTTGAATATTTGTACCCTCCAAGATTCATGTTGAAATGTAACTCCCAATGTAGTCAGTATTAAGAGGTGGGGATTTTAAGAGGTGAGGGTGTGAGGGCTCAGCTCTCATGAATGGATTAACCCATTCATGGATTCATGGGTTAATGGATTCATGGGTTATCATGGGAGGGGAACTGGTGGCTTTATAAGAAGAGGGAAAAGGCCAAGGGGAAGGATTGCTTGAGTTAAGGAGTTGGAGAGGAACCTGAGCAAGAGCAAGACCCCCATTTGCATGAATATACACATTGGGACCATACACCCATAAATTTCTGGGCTGGGCGTGGTGGCTCACACCTGTAATCCTAGCACTCTAGGAGGCCAAGGCGGGAGAATTGCTTGAGCCCAGGAGTTTGAGGTTGCTGTGAGCCATGCTGATGCCACGGCACTCTAGCCTGGGCAAGAGAGTGAGATTCTTGTCTCAAAAAAAAAAAAAAAAAAAAGAAGAGGAAAAGACCTGAATGAGCATGTTAGGATGTTCAACCCCTCGCCATGGGATGCTCTCTGCCATCTCCTGCCTCTGTATAGAGTCCCTACCGGCAAGAAGACTCACACCAGGTGCAACACTTGGACCTTGGACTTTTCAACCTCCAGAAGTATAAGAAATAAATTCCTTTTCTTTATAATCTATCCAGTTTCAGGTATTCTGTTATAAGCAACAGAAGACAGATCAAGACACCCAAAGATCTTACCATATAAATCTAGTCTTAAACAGTCATTCTTTTTAGAGCTGGAGGGTATTGCATAGTGAACATAATTTATTTAATCCTTATAGAACACTTTTGTTTCCTTTTCTTTTTTTTCTCAATCTCTTTTTTCTTTTTTTCTCCGTTTAAAAAGTTTGATAGAACACTTATTTTTAATTAATCAATCAATGCTGCCTTTTACATAGATCATTTTATACATATACAGACAAAACGCATTACCAGAACTGAATCAAAAAGTAGACATACAATTTTGATAGATATTGCCAAATTATACTTTATAGGGATGTTATCATGAGTAGGTTTTTTTATCTTAAATCACCATTTTTGGAATAAATCCTACTTTGTCATGGTGTGAATTCTTTTTACTGTCACATTGTTGGATTAGATAACATCTTAATTTTGTTTTTATAACAAAATCATAGTGAGAAAGGAAGAGTTTCCTGGTTTTTTTTTTTCTTTGATACTGTTGGTCTTCGATTTTGGCATTGGAGTTACACAGGCCTTGTGGAATAAACTGGGAAGTTTTCTCACTTTTTGGGGGATTCTTTGTCTCCTTAAAATCCAGCCTGGTTCGGATACCCCATACCACACCCTTTTTCCTTCCAGCATTGCCCCACAAGACCAGCCGTCATTTGACCATGAGGATTTCTCACACCAGTTCTCAAAGCTCCTTATAAACTGGGCTCCCACCACGGATCCCCAACAAAGCCTGTGTATCATTCCCATTGGACCAACCCACTTCCAAGCCTTTGCTCGTGTCCTGCCACTTGCCTTGCTAAATCCTAACCACTGAGTTTGGACTGGGAGGTCTTGGGTGCTGTGTACTGTGACAGGATAGAACCGACATTTGAGCCAGAGACCATGTATAGTGTGGGGCGTCCTTAAACTACAGCCCACCGGCCACATGCAGTTGTTTTTTGCCCGTTTGTTTTTTCACTTCAAAATAAGATATGTGCAGTGTGCATAGGAATTTGTTCACAGTTTTTTTAAATTATAGTCTGGCCCTCCAATGGTCTGAGGGACAGTGAACTGGCCCCCTGTTTAAAAAGTTTGAGGACCCCTGGACTGTAGCTGCTCCACACCCCTCATTTTATTTAACCTTTAGAATCCTGGGGAAGTTTCGCTCTTTTTGTTTTGTAGATGGGAAAAGACACTTAAACTTTATACGCTGATAAGTGCAGGCAGGTGCCCAAATTTTAATTTTTTTTTTTTTTTGCAACAACTCTGGATGAATAGGTGCCCAAATTTAAAACCAGGACTGCTTGATTGCAAAGTGACTGCTATGTCCACTCCATTAAGTCTCACCTGCCTCATTGGGTTCCCCAGCTAGCCTCTCTCCTCCACCTGCCTGTCCTCCCTCGGGGCTCCACTTGCAATTGTAGACCAAGCCACACCTTGTCACCTTCACACTCTTTTGCATTTTCCGTTGTTTGATCTGTGCAGTTCCTGGATCACACAGGGCCCTCCTCCACCTTTGGATAGCTCATAAATAGCGGGGGGGAAAAATAAAAGAAGGAAAAGGCGACTAAATAACAAAGGCTTCTTCTGGTTGTGCCGGCCTCAGATTGATTATTGCAAGAGGAGCAGAATGCCCTTTTCACAATAAGTTTATTTTTTGATTTTTCTTTATTTTTTATTGTTTAGTTTTGTTTTAAAGTCTATATTTTTATTTTATTTTTTTACATAAAATGATATATAAAATATTTAATTTCTATATTTATATTTATTTTATTTTCATTCATATATTTTACCTATTCATTTTTCTTCCCTTTATACATTTCCATGGTCACGCAAACAAGTTTAACAAGAGCGATCTCCCAGGGGCTTTTTAGCGACCGCCCCCTCCCCCACCAAACCCCGCGGCGAAATCAGCGCCTAAAAAACCGAAGCGCTTCGGCATCCGTGACTGGCGATCACCTGCCCGGGCGACGCAGCGCGTCACACTGCGGCGGGGCGGGGGGGGACGCGGGAACCGCAGACCGCGGCGCAGACTTCCTAACAGGGACAGCCGGACCGGTCTCTCCGCGGGTCCCCCCCGCCGCGCGCCGGGCCGGTGGAACATTCCGCGCGAACGCTCGGCCACGGCGCCCCCCCAGTCCCCTGCCGTCCAGTGCCGCGGCGCGCGCCCGGCGGAAGGACGCGCGGGGCGGGGCTTCGTCCGCGCGGAAGGGGCGGGCCGAAGGAGGGGGGCCGGCGGGGGGCGGGGCCGGCGGCGCGCGCTCGGGGCGGGGCGGGCCCGGCGTATTATGGGATGCGGCGGTGGCATGGCGCTGGGCGCGTGATTTTGAACAAACCCCGGTCTGTGTCTCGGAGGCGCCGCCGCCGCCGCGGCTGCCGGGAGCGCGGGGAGCGCCGCGCGGGGAGGAGGCGGCGGCGCCGCCGGCTCGGGTGAGTGCCAGCGCCCTCCGGGGAGGGCGGCTTCGGGGCGGGCGGGACGCCGCGGAAAAAAGAAGAGTGCGGCGGGGCGGGCCGGCGCGCGCGCTCGGGGCGGGGCGGGCCCGGCGTATTATGGGCGGCGGTGGCATGGCGCTGGGCGCGTGATTTTGAACAAACCCGGTCTGTGTCTCGGCGGCGCCGCGCGCCGCGGCTGCCGGGAGCGCGGGGAGCGCGCGGGGGAGGAGGCGGCGGCGCGCCGGCTCGGGTGAGTGCAGGCCCTCCGGGGAGGGCGGCTTCGGGGCGGGCGGGACGCCGCGGCGGGGGCGGAGGGGCTCGGCTCGGTTCTTCGCCGCTGTCACCCGGGGGCTCGCCCGGCTGCGGGCGCGCTCGCGCGCGCCGGGGCCCGGGGTCGCCGCTGTGCCGTCCGCGCGGCCCGCCGGCCGCCAGCGCGCCGGCGGCCTTTGTACGCGGGGCGCGTCCGTTCCCCGCGCGGGCCCGCCGGCTCCGCCGCGCGTCCCCGGCTGCACACGGGCGGGCGGCGGGACCCGCTCGCGGCAGCGGCAGACGCGGGCGGGGCGGGCACACTGGGACGTCCCCGCC